GATGAATTAGATTTTCAAACTAGTAATCAAATGATGCTGTTATTTCTAGGTAAGAAACAATTCTTCATTATATTCTTTAGCATTAACGTTCCTCAAAAATAACTGAAATGATTTAACCTTACTCAGATGGGTAAAACTTTTTTTAAAATTCGGTTTTATTTTGCTATGATTTCACAGTTCAGTCATATCAAGGAGAGTTGTGCAATCATCACTACAATTTTAGAACATTTTCTTCTTTCTTGTATTCCTTGTTATTAGCTCCCCATTGCCCCCCATCCTACTCTGCTATAACCCAAAGGAACCCTTAATCTAGTTCCTGCCTGTATAGATTTCCCTATCATGGATTTCATATGCAGAAAAATATAGAAATAAAACAAGCAAACAAATAAAAACAAACTAAAACGTTAACAACAGTAACAAAATAAAACAAAAGCCTCAATAGAAAAGTGAGCAAAAAATATTAAAAATAGAACAAAATTAAAATGGGTCCAAAGGGAGATCAAATGATAAAGGTGTTAAGTTTTAGCTTAACTCCATCTGCAATAATTTACTTTCCAATGTACACTGCGTGATAGCAGGGCTATTTACACCCCTCGTCTATGGTCCAAGGGGATTCACCCAAGGCTGAATCTGTGTGGGCCCTCCAAGTGAATTTTGGGTTTCCACTGCCATCCATAGCATTCTGCAACCCGGGTGTTCACAATTTAAGCTCTGATACTGTCTCTCATTTGGATTTAGATTTTATTATTTACAATCCTTGGATCACACAGATTGCCATGCTTCTTCAATGTTTACTTGGTTGACATCTCACTTAGATGGCTGCTTGTTTGAAAACAAACCTGTAAGAACCCAGATGCTGTTCTTTCTGGTAGCCACGCACCATCTAATTTCTTCACCATAGTTTGCTATGCCAAGATGGATAAAACTTTTGACTGTATCAAATACATTTATCATTAGTGAATCTTACATATATTGCTCCTGTTGCTTACTCCTTAAACTATGGAGAAAATGAATGCACTGTTTTGCATGCCTGAATATAGATAGATGTTTTCCTAAAAAGGGATATGAACTTCCAGGTAATAACAGCTATTATGTTAACTCAATCTAATGCTAGAAAATGACCTAGATCTTAAAGTTGTTCATGTATCATAAACATAATTAAAATAAAGTTTAATCATTTTTCATTGTTTTATATAAATTAGATTCTTCTAGATTCTTTAAAAGTGTTCATATTTTGATTTTAAAAGCAAAAACACCTAGTCATTGAAGCGATTCTGATGCATACTGACCCTAAAAAACAGAGTAGAATGACTTCTCAGGGTTCCAGAGACTGCAAACTCCATGGAAGAGATAGACTGATCTTTCTGTGAGTGACTGTCAGCTGAAACCCTAACTTGACACTGTGCTTATGGGGCTTGTACTACATTGACTGTGAGAGGGTTTGTTTCTTCAGAACAGTTTTTCCAGGGCCAGCCATATGAAACTGGTACTTTCACTGCATTCTGGGCAACAGTTAGGCACCAGAACTACTTATTTGCATATCTTTAACGTGGCTCACTTTAATCTAAAAAGGCAAAGATTCTGGCTCCTTGGGGAATAAAGGAACTAGTTTTACTTTTTAAATATTTTGTTTTTAAAATTTAGCACACACTGTAATGTCTAATGTAAATAACTTGCACATAATGATGCAAAAAATATATATGTAATCTGTCAAAATGTAGTATTTTATTGATTTTTTTAAGTATTAAAATTTTAATTCATAAGCATGCATACTTCATGATATCAGAAGCCATCTCCTTCGAAAAGAAAATATATGCATATATTTCATCTAGTTAACAATACCATTCATCCAGAGGTAAAATTTATATTTTTATAAATATTCTGCTTTAGATGGTCTTTTTATACCAAAGAAACCATTTTTTTTCTTTCTTTTTTCCATAGCGCACTCTGTAAAATGAATGTCTAATTAAAAATCACAAAAGACATTTTGTTACTGGAGGGGGTGGAAGTAAAATTCAAACAATGTTCTCAAGATGACTCTCATCTACCTTCCTGGCCTCTCCCTGGGCAGTGCTCATCCAAGCAGGCACCGTTTTGAATGAAGGTCATACCCTCATTGAGGCTGGGAAATTAACAGGCCGTGAGGTCACTCACTGCCTGTGTCTCCCTTATGAGTACGAAGATTATCAGCTGTACAACCTTCTTCCAACAGTATCTTCACAAAATAGCACAAGCCCTTAGCCTCACAAATGTGCAAAAGCAGCTACATAAATCCGAGCTGTTAGCTTAACTCATTTTAAAATTACTGAACACATTCTTTAAAGGTGGCCACCACCTATCTAAAAGATGCTTGCTCAGGGAATGCAAGAATCGAATGCATTGGTAGACATCTAATCTTGATTTTTAGAGGCGGCATGCCATTTTCCTAAGGAATAACCTGTGTCAAAACAGAAGGGTTCACTGCCTCCCCCTGCCTTCCATTCTAGTTCATGGCAGCTCAAATGCACACACAAATTCAGATGCAACAATAACAGTGGTTGTGTTAGGCTGGATTGTCTAGAGAAACCAACCAGTGACACTCATACAGGTATAAAAAGGAGCTTTATATCAACAGTAATCTTGTGTGTCCAATCACGTAAAATTTATTCTTTGCATGTGAATAATTAAGGTATTATGATATGTAGTTAACCTACACTTGTTCAATCTGCCTCTCTCAATAGTATTTTAAAAATTAGTATCATGGGCTAAAAATGGCACTATTAACAGAAGGTCATTATACTCTAGGGAGATGATCAATAAGATCCTCTACCATAATTTAACAAGGCTGTCTCTAAGTTGAGGCAGAGGCAGATAAAAAACATAGCTTCAGGAATGGATTTGAGGCTCCCACTTAATCCTAGCACCAATCCAAGAACAACTAGTTTTTACTTTATGGCTCTACTCCATACTCATTCTCATGAAGAAACCACAGAAAATATGGGTGCTGGTGTGGTTGAAGAAATTAGATGATGCCCAACTTTGAGATAAAACAGTGCCTGGCGTCTTAAAGGCTTGTTTCCAAACAAGCAGCTAAGTGAGACGTCAACTAAATCCTCATGGAAGAAGCACACCAACATCTGTGACGTACGGATTGTAAATGATATAATCCAACCCCTAAGGAGGAAATAGTATCAGAGCTTTATTGTGAGATTCTGGTTTGGAGAAGGCTATGGTTGACAGTGGAAGCCAAAAATACATTTGCAGAATCCACACAGGGAATAAGCCTTTCGTGATTTCCCTCTAAACATAACTGAGGAATGGGCACAAATTGGCCACCAGACAGAGTATTGGAGGGCTGACTATATTAGATTAAGATGATACATGTGAAAAAAATGTACATCTGACTCAAATGGTTAAAAGCTTGTCAACTGATCTGTCCCGAACACTTGGGGCTTGATCTGGTTTTTCATATTTTCTGTTTTATATATTTTTATGTTTGGGTTTATCTCCATTGTATTTTGCCATTGTGGGTAGCCTTTTTGAATCTTTGCTATGTGTTTTTCTGTTTTTGTTATATGAAACCCAGGATAGATAAACTTACAGATACCACAACTAGAAAAAGGGTTCCTGGAGGGCATGATAAGAGAGGGGAGGGAGTGGCGGTGGGGTGGGGAGGAAGCTTATATCAAGGAATTAAAGAAGGAAGAAAATACTTTTAAACTGATTTTGGTAGCAATTATACAATACTATTTGATGTGATTGAACTATGAAATAGTATGATGTTTTGCTTAGCTTCAAAGAAAATGATTTGAGGCAACCCCCCCAAACAATCTTATATTAAGAAGGCATCCCAGGCCTGTGTACGTAAGCCCTCTTCAGACTCAAGTACTGGCTGCAGGCCCATGACACAGAAAGGTGTGAAGCAGGATGCAGGGAGACCCCGGGCACAGGGAGGAGTAGATTAAAAGTCAGTGTGAACATGGCAGGGCGCCAACCGCTCTCGGGATGTGGAAGCCCAGATAGGGCCACCCCTGTAAGCAGACGCAGAGTCCCAGTGACCTGGAAGGTAAAGAGGCAGAGAGGAGAAGTCCCTGTGTGTCTCTTACAAGAAGGCCACACCTTGTAGGAGGCGTCATCAGGTTGTGGCCTGATTGACAGGTTGGATTTCACCCCTCCACAAGTGCACATTGACATAAAACATACCTACCACAGTGGGGCAGAAGGACGTGTGACATTCAGCTGTGTCCCCCAAATATCCACCAGCTTCAAATTAGCCCATTTCCCAAGCCCCATACAGGAGGGAAGGAAGCAGAGAGCTGTGTGTGTGTGAAGTGATGCCTTTCCTGCCGGGCTTGCTCAGAAGCCTGAGTGCTACCCCCTTACAGAGTCCCGTTCCTCTTTCCCTTCAAGGCTCAGCCCTCCAACTGCCCCGCCTCCAACTCCAGATGCACTCGTGTCAGGACTGTCTACCGGACACAACAACTTCAGGCCCAAGGTGTTCTTCAACCACTAAAATATTCTCTCACGTAAACATGTTCCGACCTAAAGGAAGATTCTTGTTGTTTGTCACCAGGAATCTCCTTTTCACTTGACATTTGGTCCAAGTTCCTGGCACATTCAAGGTTTAATCAAAGTCGCTGCTCCCAAGTAACCCTCTCAGGGGAAACAGGGAAATGTTTCCCTACACCTTTCCTCTTTCCCATCATAGTACAACCCTCCCAACCCCAGGTGGACTTGTGTCAAGGCCCAACCCCCCCCTACCTGTCCCACCCCCAAAACCAGCTGGACTGATGTCCAGGCACACCCACTGCCACGCCTGCATTGTTAACTAATCCCCCAGGTGACCAGATGCCCACCCACCCAGGGGCAGGATGTTGGACCCCAGGCAGCACTGTGTTTGTTCTCTAGCAGTGCCTGCACAAGCGGGGAGGGTCCCCAGCAGATGTTTCAGACCTGGCTTCACATAGGTGCCTGTCTCTATCTGTCCTCTTTGGACTGACGTCCTAAGAGTGGCTCGGGCCATGGGGCTGGCAGAGGGCCAGGTCACCCTCAGGGGATCCCTCTCCATGCTTGGGCTCTGTGTGCTCCTGGCTCCAGTCCAGAGCTCGGCAGGCCGTCCCTCATGGCGCTACATCTCCTCCGAGGTGGTGGTTCCCAGGAAGCAGATGCCTCCAGGCAAAGGTGTGCAGGTGCTAGGCTGGCTCTCCTACAGCCTGAGCTTTGGAGGCCAGAGGCACCTGATCCACATGAGGCGCAAGAAAGTGTTTGGGCCCCGACATGTGCCGGTGATGTCCCAGGACGACCAGGGAGCCTTGCAGATGGACTTCCCCTACCTCCCTCACGACTGCTACTACCTGGGCTTCCTGGAGGAGATCCCTTACTCCATGGTCACCATCAACACGTGCTACGGGGGGCTCGAAGGTATAATGAAGTTAGATGATCTGGCCTTTGAGATCAAACCCCTGAAGGATTCCCTCATGTTTGAACACGTGATTTCTGAGATAGTGGCAGATGCCAATGCCATAGGGCCTATGTATAGACTAGGATACAAGGACCCCCCACTGTCGAAAGAAAACAGTGCAGCCTTGAGGATCTCAAGCAAGATTTATGCCTCTCATGCAGGTGTGATAGAAAGTCTTCCTTCAAGTTCCCGTGAAGTGTATGAACTATATAACAATATATCAAACTGTGTCGTATATTTGATAGATCTTGCTTCCCTGGTGGACTCAATGTATAGGCATTTGGATCTAAAATTTCGAGCTGTTGGTGTACTTATATATAATGCAAGGAACCCAACCAGTATGACAGATTATCGACATCCTGGGGGTGCATATTCTAACTATTACAGAGACACCATTTATCGAAGCATGAAGGTTGCATCTAGCTTTATACTGACTAAAGATGGACCTCATGAACTTCAATATAATCCAACAGTGCGTGGTATATGCAGTGCTGCTTCCCTTATCATGATTGGGCATCTGCAGAGACATTATTTTTTGCTATCTGTGATTATAGCTTTTCAAATGGGTAGGTCTGTTGGTTTTAATGTTGATACCCCGCCATGTTATTGCCAGAGAAGGACTACTTGCATCATGTTCAGGTATCCTCTGATAACAGATGTGTTCAGTAATTGTACCATTGTAGACTTGCAGCAATCAGTTTTGCTAAAAGAATCTTGCATGTATAATCTTCCTCGTAAATCCTTTAATGAAAGCCTAATAGAGCATCGTTGTGGAAACACTAGAGTGGAGGGGCAGGAGCAATGTGATTGTGGCTCCTATAAAGAGTGTTATGATAGCAAGTGTTGTAAAACTGATTGTAGGCTGACCCCTGGAAGTATCTGTCATGAAGGAGGATGCTGCACAAACTGTACCTACAGCCCCATGGGCACACTCTGCAGACCTATCCAAAATATATGCGACCTTCCAGAGTACTGTACTGGGGTGGACTATAGCTGCCTCGAAGATGTTTATCTGCAAGATGGAACCCCGTGCACTGAAGAGGGTTACTGCTTTCATGGGAATTGCACTGACCGCTCCATGCACTGCAAAGAAATCTTTGGTGAAGGTGCTGTGAATGCTGATGATATCTGCTATAATATCAACACCAAAGGCAACCGATTTGGACACTGCAGGAGAGAGATTAGCAGCGCCACTCACGAAGCTTGTAACCTCCAAGATGTTAGGTGTGGAAAGCTGCAGTGTTCCAATGTGACTCATCTTCCGCTGTTGCAGGATCATGTCTCATTTCATCACTCTTTGATCTCAGACATTCATTGTTTTGGACTGGATGAACACCGTTCGACAGAAGCAACTGACGTTGGACATGTAAGGCCTGGGACCCCCTGTGGTGCTGGAAAGTTCTGTACACCTGGCAGCTACTGCAGTGGTATTTTAACTGAACTAAATTATGACTGTCACCCTCGGAAATGCAGTTATAGGGGAATGTGCAACAATAAGAGAAACTGTCACTGCCATGTAGGCTGGGACCCTCCTCTCTGTCTAAGGGAAGGTGTTGGTGGAAGTGAAAACAGTGGTCCTCCTCCGAGAAAATTCAGGACAGTAACACTAAGTGATCAGCCAGTCCTTTACTTGAGATTGATCTTCGGTCGTATTTATGCCTTCTTATTCGCACTCCTCTTTGGACTTGCCACAAATGTAAAAGCCATCCAAAAAACTTAAACCAATTAAAATATGTGTCAACCTCCTGATTTCTGTGACATATATCATTGACAAGAGGAAGGATCATTTACGAGCTGGGTTGAAGTAAAGGAGATGACAAAACTCAAGATGTAGATGCCTGGGGGAAATAAGTCATCCTCCCCAACATCCTGGGTGACGTCACGTTGGCTCTTTAGACATCAGTACTTTGTTCATTAGCCAGTCTCCTGTGGCATAAATACTGAAAATTCAATGTGAGTTTGCTGTATCCATTTTTATTAGCTACTGGAAGTCAACAGAGCTTATGTTCTAATTAGCAGAGTAGGCCTGAGTCAGCAGCTAGTCTGGAATGAGATTTTTGGGCCCAAATTTGGTGGATGTTGGCCCCACACGCTGTTGGGACTTATTCATGACAGGCCTGCAGTGTTCTTATGCCTCAGGCATTTCCTGATCCTGTAGGAAATCTGTCCTTGTATAAAAAAAGGTGGGCCCAGAGAATGGGAAGGCCACTCACAATGTGCACTGCTTGTAGCCCAAGCGATGATTGTGGGATTGGGGATGAGAGTCCTGTGGGTTCAAATCCCCACCCCCCAGCACAGGTACACAGACGTGGAGTGCACCTTCTCCAGGTGAGAGCCTGGGATCCCAGGGGCAAATGCAGCCCTAATGGTATTCCATGAGAACACTTTATTCCTCCCCTCTTCTTGCCTTCTCATTGTAGTGGACTGAGGAGGGAAACAGGCTTGAGCAGGTGGTGATCAGTTGTAGGATCCAGCCTTTAAAGAATGCCAGGCTTTGGGGAATGGGAAACCAGATGTGCTGATTTTCTAGAGCTACTCTCACAGAGTACCACAAATGGATGGTTTAAAGCGACGGGCTTTTGTTATGACTTCAGTCCTGGGTTCCAGGAGTCCAAAACTACAGTGTTGGCCAAGTCTCACTCTCTCTCTGACACTCTGGCAGAATTCCTCTTGCTTCTGTTGGTGGCCAGCAGCGCTTCTCTTGTGAGAGCATGAGTCCCCCTTTTTTGAACGGCTCTTTTTATTTTTACCAATTATTACATTTTTATTGACATAGGACTCATAAACTGTAAAAAATACTCCTAAAATGTACAATTTCATGGTTTAACTTAATTTAAAAGACTTTTGCAATCATCACTACAGTGAATTTTAAAACATTAAAAAAATTTGGCATGAGCCTAGGAAACTTTTCATCTCCTTAATGTTCATAAAGAGTTACATATCCCAGATTTCATATCACATCATACCCCAAACCAACAAGAAAATAAATCACAGAACGACCTTAACCCAAAAGAAAGCAGAAAATAATAAGCACTAGAACACATTGGAAGGGCTCATGAGGGAGGGGGGAGCGGGGAAGGAGGGGAAAAATGAGGACCTAATGTGGGGGTTTAAGTGGAGAGAAAATGTTTT